AGTCAGAAAGAGTCAATAAGAAAATACGAACGGGGAGGATTAGTCATATATCTTGACTCTTCAGAAGTGGGTCAAACAGGATCAAGGTTGGGTGAGGGCAATTTTTAGCGCTAAGCAGAGTTCTGGGTTGAATACCTTTACTTAGGCCTAGAAATTGGTGCTGATGCAGACTGCAGTTTTTATTATACCATCATCAATCATCATTGAATTAGTCCTGGGCATCCCTCCCCGTTGTCGGTCTGAATTCTAATGATGGCTTCATTCCTTGCACCAGCCATATCAGCGAGTTGCCATCTCGAGCATGATTTGCCTATGTACAAATAATACAATTAGAGTATGAAAATGAATTCAATGAAAATGAAAAGAGAATTCTATCACATGCCAATAAATACACACATAATAGTTGAAGCTAAGTGAAAGTCATTACTCGCACATCAATTCTAAAAAATTAAAGACTAAACATTGGCTAGAATGGCACTGAAACTACCAAGAATCATGGACGAAACAACTTGTCAAATTAAATAATCCTTATACTGAAACTACCTTCTAACTTGAAATGAGACATGATCACAGTTCATAGCTCTCTTCTCACTATGAATTGGTTGCAGCTCGTCCTTATCGCTGCCTCCCAAGCTCAATTCAAACAGAATAGAGACCGTTATGTAAGATAACCATATTCTTACTGATCATAATTCCTTTCTTCACTCCATTTTTGTCGGAGAAAAGAGTTATCCCCCTCTCCTGCATTTCCCTTTCCCCCTCTCTTCTCCCTCTTCTTCACAAACCGATACCTAAACCAACAACAACAACACAAAAATAGCCTTCGCCTCTGCCGTCTCCATCTATTGAACGCGTTGGTGGCAAGACAGGATTGCAGAAGCAAAAATTTCTAAAATCAAACTAAATTTTTTGAAGCAGACTCAACCACGAAAAAAGAGTAAAGCAACAATGCAGTAGAACCCTAAATTTAACTACAATCAAGCACATATCAGCAAGATTTTCGATTTGTCTGAGAGTTAACTACACAGAGAGAACAATTGATGCATAATTGAAATGCTCCAAGCAAGTTGAAGGCAAACCATAACTTTAGAATTTGGTCATTATAATAACCTTCAAGTATTGATGCTTCTAAGAACTATCATGTCCAACCCCCACTTATACAACTACGAAGCCATAGTAGTTAGTTGTATAATGAGAAATATTATAAAGAAAACTACATAAACAACCAATGTAAGTAAATATTAAAACTAACAACTGAGAAAACTTAAAATCTCTCTATTGGTATAAATGTATCTATTAGTAACTACTATGCAATCTATATATGATTTTTAGGCACTGCAGAAGAAAAGTATAGATGGCTCACAAATGAAGACGTAGCAACTGAAGGTAGCACACAAAAACCAAAAATAGAAAAAGAGATAAGAAAAAAGGCGAGAAAAAGTCAAACAAAGAAAAAGCCCACATAGGAATACCTCCCTAGCTTTAGGGACTCTCTGCCACAACAAACAACCTTCTAAAAAATCTAACACCATGAGACATCAAACAAACCTCCCACGACACTAATGTATGGCATTCCTATTGTCCAATAGGTTTGCCCAATTTAGACTTCTAAATAAATAGACTTTTCACCATTAAACCAAAACTCACAATCATTAACAGTTAATGCAAAGACATACATTTCTGAGGCCAATCACAGCATTTAAGCATAATTTTTAGTTGAAAAGAACAACTAAGTATTTAGCTAAATGATATAGTAGAATGGACACAATCTGCTACCTACTAATGATTTAAACGTGTACCGGTACCATCGTTGTATCCTGACTTGCCATTTGCAACGGGCACTTTGAAAGACAGCTGCATTTTAGAGAATAAACACCCATAACGGCGTTACGAAACCAAGCTTAATCCAAAATCTTCATATTCCACTTCGAAGACTCCATTTTCAAAAATAAGAGAGTTTAACATGTCAAATCACTCATTTGAAAAATCTCAAACAACTATTAATAAATGCAATATAAAGGCACGTTCCAAATTATGTACTTGTAGGAATAATCCCAAATAATTATCAATTAATGCCCCAACTACCTAATGTGCAGAATAGCCCTAGAGCTGTGTTGTTGTTTGCGTTGGTCTACCTTCAAACATAACATAGTTGCATCACGAACCAAAGCAATTAAGCAAAAATCTTCATATTCCAAGTAGAATGACTCAATTCAATTTGGCCAATGCTTTATACATATTGTTTACCCCTGGACCTGTTGTACTTGCGCCTTCAGATCTTCGTGAACACAATACAATTGCAGAGAGGAGGCTGTCAACGGAATAAAAATTGTTAATTAAGTGAATCACCATACAACTAAACAAACGCGCTCTTCTTGATTAGCTATCAAAATAGTGGGGGTCGCTACAATCCATCGGTTGCTCCCTCTGCGCCTAAGTTGTAGATATTAGGTTTCAGTGAGAACTTTGAGTACATGAGGAGATATTTTGTAGTGGAGGAGATGACCCGGCGAGTAGAATAGCAAGATTTGGAGAGGCTGCGATGGGCAAAGCAGTTAAAATCGGGATTTTATCTAAAATAAAAAACTGAGGTAAAATCAAAATCGTATAATCGAATCGTAAAATCGTAGGATTTTAAGTACCATATAGAACATAGCATATAAGAATATTAATAAGGTAAATTATTAATATCACAAAGACACATAGCATTTAAAATGATAATTCAGAAGATTTTTTTTCCATAAGATAATTCTCAAGATTAATGTTCCAAAATCACTATTTTAATTGTTATTTAATGTGTAACTCAAAATAATTCATGATGAAGGGATATAGTTCATGGGTTTGGCTCTTATTTTCATGTTATGTCTAGGTTGTTTAACTCAAAGTAATATTTCGACATCGTCTACTAAGTATGATTTAAAACTAAAAATAATTGAACTCCAATAAAATAAGTAATGTTAGTGGCTTGGTACAAATATATTCATTAATAAATTAATTAGTTAATAATGATGTTAGTTCTTACATACTTCCAATATTAGGACAGGTGTTTTACCAATAAGTTAAATGGGGTGAAGGGAAAGAGATTAACCGAACCCTAATTTTGTTATTTTTATTATTTTTGAATATTTTTCTAATAGAAAAAATATCTGAGAAGATTCCATTGCCCTTTCCGCTGAAACAGTTATACTTATTTTAAATTGGCTCAAACCACCTATTTTGTTCTCTTACGATCAAAATCCCGATTTCGGTACTATTTTACGATTTTAACGATTTTAGTCCCGATTTTAAACGATTTAAAGGTCCACCGATTTTATAGTAAAATCAAGATCGGAATCCCTGAGTAAAATCCTAAAATCCTACGATTTTACGATCAAAATCCCGAATTTGACTGCATTGACGATGGGTGCACGATTAGTGGGCCAAATAACAGTTTGGGCCCGTTTAAATGAAAACATATTTTTACTTTCGTGCTCAATAGACCGACCGCACTAGCATCTTCTAAATTTACCCCTAAAAAAATTGCTCTGTACGCATCAAATTTGAAATGGAATCCCTCTTTTCTCATTTCACATTTCACATTTATATGATGTGTAGATTGTGATAAGTGTAGATGTAGACCTGTCATTGTCCTACAAATTCATTAACATGCCAAAAAGTGGTGAAATGAGCCACCCTATTAAACACAATCTTGTATAATGATCATTGGATCCAATCATGCCAGATTATGAAGAAGTTTAAAATATAGCAATTATCCCGACTAAAACATTAAAAGAACCAGTCTCATATAGTTTGCACAAAGATATAATTTCTCCATAGTAATTCTGAAAAATAATACTAATTTAAGAAGTCGATATTGCTTCTACATGTTTAATATTGCAATTCGATATGCAATATTCGAACCAGTGATATTTGGGCTGCAATTTTAGGGTTATCATATATTTATAAAATAGATAGAAATTTAAATTAAGTATTAAACTACAGCTAAAATAATCAAAGTATTAAAACACCAAATAAGTACTTACGGGAGATTCAGTGACCAACTAATCGTTAAAAAAGTCATATGATTTTCATAATTTAGGTTCGTGTATGTTTGAATTTAAATAGATACAACAAATATACTTAGTGTGATTGGTTATGATCCTTGCTTGCCTTTAAAGAGACCAAGGTTCAAATCCCAGTGCATGCCTTTTTTATGAATAAATAAATAAGAAAATAAGTACTTGTGAAGACCAAAATACCCTTCCTATAATCACTCTCGTTGCAGGAAATTTGAAATGGAGCAACAGTTTTCATCATTCGGCTTTTATTTATTATCTAGATAGATAGAAATTTAAATTAAGTATTAAACTACAACTAAAATAATCAAAGTATTAAAACACCAAATAAGTACTTACGGGAGATTCAGTGGCCAACTAATCGTTAAAAAAGTCATATGATTTTCATAATTTAGGTTCGTGTATGTTTGAATTTAAATAGATCTAACAAATATACTTAGTGTGATTGGTTATGATCCTTGCTTGCCTTTAAATAGACTAAGGTTCAAATCCTAGTGCATGCATTTTTTATGAATGAATAAATAAGAAAATAAGTAATTGTGAAGACCAAAATATCCTTCCTATAATCACTCTCGTTGCAGGAAATTTGAAATGGAGCAACAGTTTTCATCATTCGGCTTTTATTTATTATCTAGATAATTTATGAGTTACTTTTTTTTTTGTTATTGTGGAACTTTACTTTGTATTATATATTGTGAACTTATTTTTTGTCTTAAGATTTGCTCAACTATAAACTGTTCGCCAAATTAGATTATATAAACGAGTAGTGACCTTCTTAAATGGGATAAAGTATGTTATTTGAAGTCTTATAAGAGGAGGGTTATTACAAAATGAATAAAAAACTTCACTTTTTTGTGCTACACAACACTTTTGCATGTGTTTCCGCAGATTCCGCTTGTGCGTAGAAGGTTGTTTTTGACTACATTTGATTTGATTGGTGGACTATTACAGAGAAGTCGAGGATATGGTTCTGTAGACAGTTCTCAAGGCAACCTGATCGAGATTCTGACTCAATGGCGATTGACCAAGCTGCTGCTGCATTTGCCATTGTTGCGTCAAAAAGGCAAAGCTTCTCGGAACCTAACAGTGAAATGTGGGAGGAAGCTCCACATCAATCTTCTCCGATACGAACAGAGAGCAAAAGAATTGGTATTACTAGTTTCCAAAATCTCATACACTAATAATACATTACTAGATGCTTTGATTTCATTTTCTTCGAGGCAAACTAATCAATCAGCTGGTTCAAATCAGGCTCTGTATCAATAAGGGATTTGGAAGGAACAACATACAACAACAATGATGAATATGATGAAAACCCAGCTACAAAAGTTGTTGGTCCTGTCTCATCAATGAAAAGGACACCAACATTTGCTGATAAGCCTGCCTCATCGATGAAGAAAGCTCCAAAATTTTCTGAAAACCCTGTTTCGTCCATGAAAAGGGCACCATCATTCATGGAGAAACCTGTTCTATCCATGGAACGATTGCCAGCTACGGCCCAGTTGCAACTGAACAACATGGATGGTAAGAGGAAGGACAACATCGATGAATCACATGTTGAGCAGCCCTCCAAAAGACCTGAAATTTCCTTAGCAAAACCCGATGGAACTATTAACCCTGCAATCCCACCTTCTAAGCCTTCCAAAAGGACTGGGAATATTGGAGAGTCAGCAGCAGATGCATGGGAGAGGGTTGAATTGGAGAAGCTGAAAGACAAGTATGGAGAAAGGAGTGTCCAATTTGTATATGCTTTACTTCCCATAAATTTGTCCTTTCCCTGAAAAAGCCAGTACATGTCGCAGGTATGAGAAGGAAGAAGAACAGATTGTCTCCTGGGAGAGTGAAAAGAAAGAAAAAGCTAAACATCGACTTGACAAAACTGAGGTTTTCTTGCTTCGCTACCTTTTTGCTTGTTTTCTTCAGCCAAAGATAAGTTGTAGGGTTAGGAAATAACAGTGTTATTTGGAGTTTTTACAGAGGGAACCTGAGAGGACAAGGTTGAAAGCATTGGAAAGGTTTCAAAGTGACATGGACACTGTCACTCAGATTGCAGAAGCAGCCAGAGCAAAGATAGCTAGGAAGCAGAAGAAGGAAGAGTTGAGAGTGAAAGAGAAAGCAGACATATATAGAAGCACAGGCCAAATTCCAAGAAGTACATGTTTCTGCTTCTGAGTGTCAGCCGTTACATGGCGCTTTGTTGGGTTGAGGTTGAATTAATAAATGTAAATAAAGTCTAAATAAACACTTATTTCATGGTTGTATATACATATATCCATAGATTGAATCTTTGTAAGACTAAGTTCTTTGTGTTGAACAATATTGATAAAGAAGCAAAAGATCCATTACAAGAAGAATGATGATAAAGGTTAATGTTTGCTGCCAAAATAGGAAAATTTAAATCAAAGTCGGTGTAAGCAGCACCAGCCATCAACTACACAAAATAGATCCTTGCAAGTATATAACATCCGCAGTCTCGGTTTCTTGACTACAAAAGATAAATCATAATATAACTTCAGAAATTCTCACTTACACAAAAATGTGAATCGCTAGATTCACCAAACATTTCAAGAGAAGCAAAAGTATATTAAACAATGACCATCAATCAATATATCAAAATTTAAACACCAAAAACATCAAGCACTTCTACTATGCTATATAGCATTGGTGCTTTAATGTACAATTCAAAGTTGTACCATAACTAGGGCTGCAAATGAGCCAAGCCGCTCGCGAGTAACTGGCGTTCGAATTGGAAAAAACTTGTTCGACACTCGGCTCGTTATTTAACAAGCTGGCTCGCGAGCCGACTCGTTAGTAAACGAGCCAAGCTTGAGCTAGACCATGCTAAGCTTGATAAGCTCGTGAGCTAGCTTGACTCGGTGGATTGTTGAGCTAAGCTCAAGAGCTGGCTTGTTTAGAGCTTGTAGAAGGATTAATTATTCTTATGAACATGAACTTAATCTTGTTAATCCGTATATGTATGAAAGTTAGCTGTTCTTTTTAGTTTATAGTGCTCTTTTTATCATTTAAATTATTATTTGCAAAGCAGTCAAAATCGGGATTTTACCTAAAATCGAAAATTGGGGTAAAATCGGAATCGTAAATTGAATCGTAAAATCGTAGGATTTTAAGTTCCATATAGAAACTAACATATAATCATATTAATAAGGTAAACCATTACCAACACAAAGGCACATAACATTGAAAATGATAATTCTCAAGATTAATGTTCCAATATCATCATTTTAATTGTTATTTAATGCGTAACTAAAATAATTCACGAGGAAATGATAGAGCTCATGGAGTTTGGCTCTTGTTTTTCATGTTGTGTTTAGCTAGTTTAACTCAAAGTAGTACCCCGGTCAAGTTAATTTAAACATTGTCTGTTAATCATGATTTAAAACTAATTATATATGAACTCCAATTGAATAATTAATGCTAGTGGCTTGGAAAAAATGTATTCATTAATCAATTAATGAGTTAATAATGATATTAATTCTTCCGCACGTACAATATTAGGAAAGCTATTTTGCCTTTGAGTTCAACGGGATGAAGGGAAAGAGAATGACCGAACCATAATTTGGTTTTTTCTTTTCTTTTCAAATGTTTTTTAATAGGAAAAATATTTGAGAAGATCCTCATCATTGTCCTTTCTGCCAAATCATTTCCGCTTTTTTTAAATTTTCTCAAACAGCCTATTTTGTTCTCATACGATTTTAATCCCGATTTTGGTAGGATTTTACGATTTTAATCCCGATTTTAAACAATTTTAAGGTCCACCGATTTTATAGTAAAATCAGGATTGGAATCCCTAAGAAAAATCCTAAAATCCTACGATTTTACGATCAAAATCCCGATTTTGACTGCTTTGATTATTTGTACACATTTTTCAGCAAGAATGATTTCAAATCGAGCTCATCTTGAGCTAAGCTTGTACTCAGTTTGACAAGTTGTGTTAATGAGTATTTATCGAGCTCTACCGTGTCGAGCTCGAGCTGAATCATTTTTAATCGAGCCGAGCTCGAGCTTGAGCTGGATTATCAAGATTCGAGTTCAAGCCAAGCTCGAGCTGAAATATTTATAAACGAGCCGAGCTCAAGCTAAGCAAAAACTCCACTCGACTCGGCTCGTTTGCAGCCCTGTCCATAACATAAAATGTATAAGTTTAGGTTGTACCATAAAGTAATTTGTACCATTATGTTATGGTACAACTTTACAACTTGAAGTTGTACCATCACATAAAGGTGCAAGTTCAAGTTGTACCATAAAAGAATTTGCACAAAAAGTATGGGTACAATTTAAAGTTGTACCATAACGTAAATATACAATTTTAAGTTGTACCATAAAAGCAAAACCCTAAAGCATCAATACTATATAGAATTGTAAAATTTCTCAAAAACATCATGAAACTATCTCTAATATAAGCTTAGCCAAAGTAGGATGAGCAAAATACAACACCAAGTAAGACGGTATCGCAAAAACAAGAGTGACAATAAAGTAGTGAATCAAGATCGTCGAACAACTTGTGCAAGGAGAAAAATTGATCCTGCCTCCCCACATTATTGCCACCATCTCTATCATAATGGGCAGTGGTGGACTCAGAATTGTCGGAGAATTGTGTCGTCGATAAAATAAGATAATAATTAAAAAATTATTAAAATTTTTAATAGAAATTACTAGAAATTAATTCATAAAATTCACAATGTCATGTTTACAACGAACCACGATGACTTTTCATGTCCTAAAATGTCTGTAAAAGTCATTCATCGCTTATGTTGCGAAGCAAATTCTTTTCGATATACACAACTAAACAATTATTCATAAATTGGTCACTCAACCTATTTCGAAGTTCATTCTTGATTATCTTCATAGCTGAAAATCTTCTTTCGCAGCTTGCAATTGCAACAAGTAAAGTAAACACCAACTTCAAGAGCAAGTAAAACTAAAGGATAATAGAAAAGCGGACGTGACAGTGGGTATCGGTAGTTAGAAACTAAAACGGGTAAGGGTGATTTTTTTATTTCATTTTTTATTTTCAATGAAGGTGCGGTCAAGGGGTGGAAACAATGAGTTTCAAAGGATGAGATTATGTTTATTTTTTTTCATTGTTGGGTTGTGGTGTGGAATACTTTGAAACAAGCATACTTATTTGATTGTACTTATGATTGTTTATTACTAATTAAAATAAATAACTTTATAACAAAGAAAATCAATCTCATATAATGAAGTGTGTCGCTCACAATTATTTGAGATGTGTCGGAACTCGTGAATTAAAAAATTTGTACTAAAAATATATAGGTCCTTCACAAACCCTTTATTAGGTCCGCCTGACCATGGGCATGCACTCCATAGTCCAACCATTGATTTTGCTCTGTCCTCCTGACGAGTTCATTACTCGAAGACCAAACAGGCTGATCAGCCAAAGTAGAAGAGTACGTGATGACGTTCAATTTATAGTGTTTATCACTCCCATATTTGATATATTTTCCCCTTCTATCATCATTAGTATTTTTTTATTATATTTCATATTAATATCGTAACTATTTCATTTTTAGGTTAAGATAGAACTTGAGTGTGTTTTTCTACTATTTTACGCCTTTTGGGGTGTTTTGCGCTTTTCAACGATATAATGCACTCAAGACGAGTATGGATCACTAAGGGACCTAGTGGATCAGAAGGAGGACGATAATAGAGCTTGTGGGCTCAAACTAATATGGATTTGTACGTCAGATGCACACTTTATCACTACAAGAAAAAAGGCTTTTTGCAACCAATATGATTGGTCCCTAAAAGTCTAAAATTGGTTATTAATCCTCTTTCACAACCAAAATATTTTGGTAGCATAATTGGTCACTATAGCCGCGTTACGAATACCTAATGCAACCCACATAGTGATTGGTAGCTTGAAAATCAAGCTATCGCAACCAATTTTGCCAAAGGAAAAACCCTTGATTTTTTGCAACCATTTAAAATTTGATTGCCATAGTCCAAACTAATAGTTAGAAAATGTAGGTGATTTGTCGCCATAAACACAAATGACAACCAATTTATGTAACCAATAATATCATTATGACAACCAATTTTTTTGGTTATAAAAGTTTAGCGCAACTATGAAACTTGGTCACGAAAAATATATATGCCAGCCGACCATATCATTTTAGCCGACTAACTAAATTTGTAATAAAATTTTAACACAACCATTAGAATTGATCGTGAAAAACACATACCTTAACCAATTAAAGCACTTTGGTGACCAATAGTTTTAGTTATGGAAGTTTAATGTAACCTCAAAAATTGGTCGCAAAAAATACATATGCCGACCAATCATGTTACTTTAGGTAACTAATTTCAATAGTTATAAAAGTTTAACACAGCCATAATTATTGGTCGTAAAATATAGGCAAAATACACTTGGTTAGTCAAAACTTTGACGGTTTGGCCAAATTTAGCCACTTTTGGCGAAATACCAAAAATAGCCACTTCCGTCCAATTCCTTAACGGCATGAGTTAACGTGCTGACTGGACTAACAGATCGTCCAATCAGACAATTTTTATTTCATACATATTTTCCACGTGGATTTAATTAAAAATAATAAAAAAGAAAATAATTAAAGTTAAAATTTCAAATGGCTGAGTCTTTGATTTGTGGAAAATAAAAAAATACATTTAGAAATTATCTCGTCGGCCACAAAAATCCCCAATCGCAACTTACTCCCCTCTCTCTTCCTTCGTTCACGAAACCCTTTCTCTCTCCCTAGAATCACCATCGTCGAAGGATCAAGACCAAGTCTAGTAAGAAGAATTTGAATCGGAGGTCTCTTGGATAAAGAAAACCGCAATGGTCTGTACCCATGAATATCACTGAATCTGGACTTCTCTCCGTATGCATTCAATTGAAACGCGATTGGTTCGGTCTAGGGATGCAGGGCCAGCGACGCAAGATGAGAGTGGTCGTGCAGCTGCATCTTGGAAGAGAGACCGCGTAAATCGACGGAAGAGGAAGAAGGTTTCGAACTCCTTTCATTGTGCTCTTTACTCGCTGGTAAGTTATGGGTAAGCAGATTTCCAAGTGAGGGTTTATCTTCTTGCCCTGACCAGTTGCTGAAAACGCTGACGATGGTGTGAGAGGAGAAAAGACGGCAGCATCGAGAAATTCATGAGGGGAAGCAGGAAAAATTCCCTCTGTTCAGATCTGCAATCCGTCTCTCCATCTATCCATCTCCGGCTGTAAATGAATCCGTCTCTGCCACCGATTTAGAATCACCATAGTTGCCTTCTCGATTTGGTTCTTTAGGGATTTGAGGTTTTCTATTGCACCAACACTCTGTAACAGTCGTCGCCGTCCTTCAACTCGTGCTCGAGTATACTCCCAATGTCGAGGCCAAAGTAGCAGAGGAGATGGGATGGGAAAAGGAGCTAAAGAGAGACGAAGAGGGAAATCACAAAAGTTATTGAGGGGGC